CCCAAGGACCCCGCCCCCAGGCAAAGGACCCCGCCCCCAGCCCAACGCCCCACCAAACCCTGAGCTGAACCCCAACCCCAACACCAACACCAATTCTTTTTGCTTTTCCTTTTCTCTGGGGTGGGGCGGGAAGACAGGGTCTCCCTGTGCCGCTCAGGCTGGCCTTGAACCCACAGCAACCCTCCTGCCTCATCTTCCCGAGTACCCGGATGACAGGTGTGCACAAGCAGATGCGACTTTGATTAAAATTTTTGAGATAGGGTCTCACGATGTAGCGCAGGCTGGCCTTGAGCTCACTGTGGAGCCCAGCCTGGCCTGGAATTCTGGGCGCTCCTCCTGCCTCGGCCTGCTCAGTGCTGGGACCACACGTCACTGCCACTATGCCTGGTGCACTCAGAATGTTCTTTTTCTTTTTGAGACAGGATCTTGCCATGCAGTTCATGCCAGCCTTGAGCTTGCTTTGTAGCCCAGGCTGGTCTCAAACTCACAGAGGAAACTCACAGTGATCCTCCTGCCTCAGCCTCCAGGGTGTGACCTCATGCCTAGATTCCAACACCAATTGTAACCCCAACCCTTACCCAGTTCTAGACCAATCTAACCCTAACATTAACTCTAAACCATAACTATAGCCCTTAGCCTAATCTTCGCCCAAACTCTAACCCTAACTGCAATACAATACCCAATCCCAATCCCAATCCCAACCCTCGCCTGAACCCTGAACACCAACCTCTGCAACTGTAATCCTAATGGATCCACTCCCACCTTAGCTCTGTGGGGTGAAGCCTGCAGTTCGGGCTGCCCCCACCACTGCAGAGCCAGGGAGCATTGTCAAGCATGGTGGGGCCTGCCTGCCTGCCTGTTGTCCCAGCACTCAGGAGGCTGAGGTAGGAGGATCGCTTCTTGAGACCAGCTCGGGCTACAAAGTGGGCTTAGGGCCAGCCTGAAATGCACAACAAGACCTTGTCTCAAAAAGACAAAACAGACCAAAGCCAGGAGGCGCCAGGCCAGGGCACAAGACACTGCACCCATGCCGAGAAGACCCCTCTCCCAGGAGACTAAGGCCCCAGCCAGGCCTGAAGCTGGGTAGGGCCGGGAGAGGCAGGGTGGAAGAAGGATGCCGACCTCCCCGCTTGCCTGGGAACCTTCCTGGGGACCCTTCGCACCCCCACCCTTGGGCTTCTGGGTCCCCTGAGGTCTTCCACCCCGAGCAGGCCAGGAGACCTCAGGCCGCTGCAGCCGGGTGGGCCTCAGGGCCCGGGGGCTCAGAGCTGCGACGAGGCCCAGCTAGGGGCGCCCCTCCTCCGCAGCCGCCGCCGACTGGGTGGCTCTGAGTAGGTGGGATGTTTCCCCGCTCTGGATCCTGTAAAAGCCCTTTTCGGTTTGAGTTTCTACCTTCTTTCTCCAAGGTGACTTGGAGTTTTACGGCCTGCTTTTAATACGTGCCAACGCGCCTATAAATGTCCCCTTGTTAAAGCAGCGGGCTTTCTTCTAGGAGCCGGGCAGAATGCTGAGGGGCAGCAAAGGCCCCCCGGGGGCAGGGGAGGGCGGCCGGGTCCTGCGGGAGGCACCCCCGCGCCTACCTGCTGGAAGGGCATGCGCAGCGCGCCCATGTTCACGTACGGGGCCACCCTGCAGGCGTCCAGGTGGCTGGCGGTGCCCAGGATGACGCCTGCAAGACAGGGGGGCCGTGAGCGCCCCGACCCGCCCCGGCCCGCGCCGCCCCAGCCCACCCGCCGGCCGAGCCCGCCGACCTTTGTGCATCTGGTTCTCCTGCTTACGGCACTTGGCCCTGCGGTTCTGGAACCAGACCTGGGGAGAAGCAGACACAGGGGCGCTGGGGCGCGCCGGCCGGTCCCGCAGCACCCCGCGCTGGCCTGCCGCCGGGTCGCCGGCTCGGGCTCAGGACGAGTCTCCCTCGGGCCGGAGGCGCCCTGCCCCGCCCAGCTCGGGACCCCTGGCCCCCAGGACCCTCTGCTCCCCAGGACCCCCTGC